TCACCCCCCGGCCGCGCAGACCACGGCTCTGGAGGGCGCCACGCTGGGTTCGCACGCAGAGCGCGAGCTGCGCGGCGCCGTCGGCGGGACGGCGGGCGCCGCGGCCGTGCAGGCGAAGGACGGCGTCGAGTGGGTCGTGGCCAACGCCGCGTGGACTACGGCCGCCGTGCACGAGGCGTACAAGAAGAGCCTGCGCGCGCTCGGCGCGCAGGTCGAGCCCATGCCGAGCGGCGCGGGGCCGGTGAATGAGTGGGTGCGTGCGCGGACGGGGGGGAGGATTTCGCAAATTATCACGGCTATTCCGCCGAATGTCGTCGCGCTGCTGGTGAACGCCGTGTACTTTAAGGCGCGGTGGGAGGTGGCGTTCGAGGAGGCGCGCACGGAGGAGCGGCCGTGGTTCGCAGACGGAGGCGAGGGGCGCGAGGTGAAGAAGGTGCGGATGATGCGGATGAGCAAGAAGAAGTTGTTGTACGGCGAGGTGGTGGTCGGCGACGACGGCGCGGCGCAGCTGGTCGAGCTGCCGTACGCCGGCGGGGAGTTCTCCGCCGTGGCGGTGGTGCCGTCCGGGCGGACGACGGTCGGGGACGTGGTGCGGCACGTGGGCGACGGCGGGGCGGACGCGTGGGACGCGTGGATGGGGCGGGCGCAGCGGCAGACGCTGGACGAGGTGGGCATGCCGCGCTTCCGCGTCGGCGGCGGCGCGAGCAGCCTCAAGGCGGCGCTGCAGGGCGTCGGGGTGCGGGCGGCATTCGTCGAGGACGAGCAGCGGCCGCCGTTCGCGCGCATGACGGCCGACAAAGGGGCGTTCGTGCACGACGTGCTGCACGCCGCGACGGTCGAGTGCACCGAGCAGGGCACGGTGGCGACCGCCGCCTCGGCCGTGGTGCTCATGAGCCGCAGCATGCCGCGCAAGAACCCCGAGGTGTGGATGGACCGCCCGTTCGTGCTCGTCGTGCGCGCACGGGGCTCCGGCGCGCTGCTGTTTCTCGCGCGCGTCGATGACCCCGTCTCGCCGTAGGACGCGGCGTAGAGTTTCTCGCGCGTCCTCAAGAAGGCACAGCGTCGAAAAGCGTGGCGTCCCGAGGGTAGGAATCGCCCGCGGCTTGCTGTGGCACTGTAAAGAATGCATTACACCCCATCTGGAGGCTTCCGGCAGCCGCAGCCAGCGACATCCCCGAAAGGTTCTCTCGTGCCACACGCAACCCACTCCTGTCGCACCCTCTGCCGCACCCTCCGTCGCAGCCCCTCCCCCTCCGTCTCCCCCCTACCCCAGCTTTCCCTTCTCCTCTCTCTCCACTAGCCTGATCGGCTGCGCTCATAGAACGCACTTCCGGCTTCCGTCAGGCTCAGGCGACGAGTCGTTCGATTCAGCAGACGCGCGCCGAGGCGATTCTCGAGGCGAGTCACGTACTTGCTCACCACTGACTTGGACAAGGACAGACGCTGCGCCGCTTCGGTGAAGCTGCCGCTGTCCACGACCTTCACGAAAACAGCGATGTCGGTAAGTGAATCCATATCCGTTCAAATGATTGATAAACATACGTGAACAATCATATTTCATTTGCCCTGTTTTTCAA